GTCAGGCTCATAGGGTGGATAGAATGGAGGAGAGCGTTTTGGGTCCCCCACTAGGGAGAAAAGTTGGGTATAAATGAAAGAAACTGAAAGAATGAAAGCTTTTAGGACCCATTTACAAAGTAGTAAAAGGTAAAGGTTTCCCTTGCTCGAAAGCCAGTCGAATGCAACTCTAGGGGTGTGGTGCTCATCTCCGTTTCCAAGCCGAAGAGCCAGCACTGTCCGAAGATGTTTCCGTGGTCATGTGGTCAGCATGACTAGATGCCGAGGCACACGGAACGCTGTTACCTTCCCACCCAAGCCGTACCTATTTATCTACTTGCAATGTCTTGCTTTCAAAATGCTAGATTGGCAGGCGCTGGGGCCAGAGACGGGAGCTCAGTCCGTCATGCGGCACTCGGGTCTCAAACTGCTGGACTACCGACCTTCCGATCTGCAGTTCAGCATCTTAATCTCTGAGCCACCGCAGCCCTATTTACAAACTAACACGTGTTAAATAGTGGGTTCCATGGATGAGCAGGCTCGAGTCCAGTGATCAGCTCAACTTTATTTGTGATTTCAGCAAGACCAGACCCCAGAGCCGCAGCTCTGTTAAACAACATGCAATTTCCATACCCAAACACACCCCACTCCCAATGATAGGCTATTTACATAACATTGCTACTGGATTGGTTACTTCCAGAGTCCTGGTGGGCTATTGTTCTTGTGCTCCAAGCTCAGCCAGTCTCTGGTGTGACATACCTGGAATGGTTTAGTGATACATAACACATGCTACTTTCCAACTCCCAGACACTAGATGACTCTCCTCTCCATTGTTAAGTGATATTGTTCATGGTCAATATCCTTGAATATCTAGCATTTCTGAGCAGCATACTATTGCACATATATTAACATTTGCCATCAAGCCTCATTTCCCTTTTTACTTTCTCCTCCCACCCCATCCCTAGCCTCACAACCCGGCTGTGAGTCACAATCCATTTTTATTTATTTACATCCTGCCTTTCCCCCCCCAGTGGACACCCAAAGTGCCTCACATCATTCCCTTCTCCTCCATCCCTGTGAGGTAGGTCAGACTGAGTGTGTGTGATTGGCCCAAGGTGATCCAGCTGTGAGTCACAATCCATTTTTATTTATTTACATCCTGCCTTTCCCCCCCCAGTGGACACCCAAAGTGCCTCACATCATTCCCCTCTCCTCCATCCCTGTGAGGTAGGTCAGACTGAGTGTGTGTGATTGGCCCAAGGTGATCCAGCAAGCTTCCATGGCAGAGTGCAGACCTGGCTTTTCCAGACCCTAGTCTGACATGCCAACCACTACACCAAGCTGTGGGTTCTAACCCACAGGACCAGAACCATTGGCTTATTTGCAGTTGACTTGCCAGATTTCCTGCTTTTTAAAATAGATTTTTGTTAGTTTATATATAGTAGAAAGGGGAAAGGGGAAAAGAAAGAGTACAGGGTTATATAGAAAAAAAATCCAAACTAACATTCTGCATGCAAATCTTCTCCTGAAAGTTTCACAACTTTTATAACCATCTTTCTTATTGTTCATTTAGTCTTAGTTTCGTAGTATTTACGTTTTGACCAGTCATAAAACGCCCTCCATGGTCCCATAAATTCTTCTTCCATTTTTCCTTTTAATATATTTGTCAATCTGTCCATTTCAGCACATTCTATAACCTCCATAATCAACTCATTAAGCGTTGGGATTTTCAATGTCCTCCATGTCCTTGCTGGACCAGAACCATTGGCTTATTTGCAGTTGACTTGCCAGATTTCCCACTTCACGTCCCTGGTTGACTTGAAATGGCAAACTCATCCAAAGGCAGCCGGTAAATTACTCCTAAATGGAGTATTCCGTAAAACAGGAGGATATGTACCCCACCCACCCACCCACCCAGCTGCTTCAGTAAGAATGGGGCAGCTGCTTCAGTATGAATGGGCTGCCTTGTCTTTCTCCCCTCCCTGTAGAACAGCCCTGTGTCAGATGAAGGGTCACAGCAGCTCAGACCCACAGCAGTTAAAAGCAGACAACTGAGAAATGGGAGAAAGGATAGCTCCAGTTGCTTCCCACCAGCTCCAAAAAGGCAGGGACAATGAGCCTGGAAGCGGAAATCCATAGAGGAACAACTTCATTTGTGTTCAATATGATTAGCTCCCTCACAGTGAATCAGACCATTGGTTCATCAAGGTCAGTACCACCTACTCAGAGTGGCAGCAACCTGGATCTGACAACCCTAACCCCCCCAATCCCCCAACAGTGGCCAGAGATGAACCGGCAACCCCAGGCGGAGGTCTTTCACATCACCTACTGTCTGAGCCATTCAACTGGAAGAAGCTGGGGATTGAATCCACCTGGCAAGCAGATGCTCCACCTGTGACCCACAGCTCCTACTAACACATTTCGAAGGCATTTCGACAGTATACTGACCAGGCTGTGGCTGCATTTTAAGAAACGGTTCCAGACAGGGAAGTTGGGTTTCAGTATAATAACTGAGCTCCTTGGGAGGAACTGAGCGAACCAGCCTCTTGCTGCGGCTTTTCAGAGCCGTGTGTGTACGACACGGGCTGGATTCTGTGGTTTCCCCATTGCTGGTGCAACTGCAGATAAAACACAGCAGCAGCAGGAACAGGACCTCCACATCGCAGCGTTCCCCATAGTTTCCCTGCCCCAGTCCCCCTGGAGTGCCCCCCCCCTTAGCCAGGGCTTCTGCAATCCTGCCCAATGTAGAGGTATGCCTTTTCCCTTTCGACTCTGGAAGAGGACTAGAGACCTATTAAAAAAATGAGAGCTGAGACTCCGCCACACTTTTTTACAACCGTGTATCAACATTCTCGTGCCAATTTTTTTTAAAAAAGCCTCCTGGGGGGGGGAGGAAACAGATGCTGCAGGGACAGGGTCCAAGAAAATGGCTGCCACATGGGGCAGAAAATCCAAATTTTCACGTCTTTACAGCAGCTAGCCCTGCTTTACCACAATCTTTTCCCAAAACTTTGGAGAAAAGTTAGAACAAGTGGAGAAACTTGGGGGGGGGGCAGAGGTGCACAAATGCACCATGATGCCATAGGGAAGGTGGAAAAACTGCTTCCCAAAAGTATTGCACTTGGGGCAGATACCCTGTGAAGAAGATATAGGGGTTGCCTGGTCCCCTCTGGCCCCTAGCAGGGGATGAGGGGATAAGGGTTGCTAGACTGAGGCTGGGAAACTCCTGGAGATTTGGGGATGGAGCCTGGGGAGGACAGGGGCCTCAGTGGGGCCCAATGCCACGGAGTCCACCCTCCAAAGCATCCATTTTCTCCAGGGGAACTGATCTCTGTAGTCTGGGGAAGAGCTCTAATTCCAGGGACTCCCCAGGTCCCACCTGGAGGCTGGCACCCCCAGGAAGCCATCCTAGTGTGGAAACCACCAGACGTTCAGTATGATGTAGGAGACAGGACACACTGCTGGACATGGGGAAGGCTCCATGTTCAGAAGGCAACCCTGGCTCCAGGTGGGACCTGGGAATCCCCTGGAATTACCGCTCATCTTTAGAGATCAGGTCCCCTGGAGAAAATGAAGGCTTTGGAGGGTGGACACTTTGACACTGTACCCCACTGAGGTCCCTGACTTCCCCAGGGTCCACCCTCAAAATCACCAGGGAGTTCCCAACCTGGAACTGGCAGCCCTAACCCCCAGCCCTTGCTGGTGGCCAAGGGGGACATGTCAACCCTAGCATGACATGACCTACCTCCCAGGGGTGTTGTTCCAGCCGGGAAGGACGGATTTTAAAAACACACACACACACACAAGAGGGATGGGGGAGTCGATAGGATGTAAAAGTGAAAACAGGAAGGGATGTGTAACGTCGTTAAAAACGCTGCAGACACCAATATTACCCAAAAGAGCACACAGATTTTATTTAAAAACAGCACCGCTGTGGCCGCATAACCGCAGGCTACAAATCTTACGAAGGTGAACAGGCATGCCCCACCACACACACACCCACAACCCTCAGAGCAAGACTCACCCAACTGAGGTAGGGACTGGTCCAGCTAACCAGAACCCCTTCTTCATTAAAAATGCCGGAGTTATGTCCTCATTCGCCAAGGGATTCTGTTCAAGCAAGCAGCGGCCATCCTGGATAATTACAATGTTGCCTCCAATGTCACACTGGCCCTCCTGGGGTAGCACCAAGCAACCAAGTTCTGACACCTGCTTTCCCCCACAGTTGATGGAAGACTGGAGGGAGGAGAAGAGGGGAAAGGAAACCAGAACTGGAGGGCGGTGGGGGAAAGCTACGGCCAAGAGGCCGATGCTGCCCTACTAGATAATAATGAGTTCGGCTGGTCCCCCTAGCCAGAAGAAGGGGAGGAAGGGCTCTTGGAAGCAGCCGATTTCGGTGAACCCAAAGATCCTCGTGGCTCTTGCCATATCGTAGAAGTTGACTTGCCCCGCAAAGCAGTTCAAAGACACCCCAATCCACCTGAGCTCTCCGTCCAGCGGCAGCAAAAGCGCATGCGGGATGCTGAAGACTTTGTACTGCTGTTCCAGCTTCCCCACAGCGAAGACTCCTTCCTCGGCACAGAGGCTGAAGAGGCCCTTCCTTTTCACCGAGCTTCTGGCAACCCCCACAGCCCAGTCTCCCAGGCCTTTCACACCGACTTCCCAGAAATGGCGCCCGATGGCGAACGTCTGGCATCCCACCACACAACTCATTCTGTTAAATCTTCTGTGCCAGGTGTACTGCACTTCCGGCTCCGGGGTCCACGTCACGCTTTTACAATCAGGGGACAGGAAAAGGTGGGGATTATTCGAGACTCTGTCCAAAGTCACACTAGCTGCCATTTGGGGAGCGGGGAAGAAGAGGAAAAGAGGGTGAAAATGGCAAGTGGAACAACAATTTTCATCTCGATCCTAGTGTTTAGCAATTGCCTCCTGTAAAAGGGCATTTCACTTGTATGCTGATAACCCTAATAAAGGATGGCACTGCAAAACAGGTCAGTATTACCGCTCCTCAACTGCAGATTGAAGGCAGGAGGTGAAACAGGAGTGCAGCCATCTTGGGGGCTCTCAGGATCTGATAACTTCCTGGCTCAAAACCCATACCTGTAGACACTACATTATGGAAATTATATCCAACAAGAGGCAGGACCCGCGATACTCATGGAGGGGAGCTCCACACAGAGCAGGCAGAGGAGGAGGAAGCAGCAGCAGCAGGTAAGCTTCCACCCCCATCCCGCCGATTCCCCGCGTCTCCTCCACCCCCCCTT